CTTCGAGTCTTGGCGCGCGCTTCCCTTATAGCTCGCACAACCAATGGCAGATCCTGTGATATCATCATCCACACGATTCTGGGCCAACTCACCCTGTCACTTACTGCAGCTGGGTTGGGTACGTGGCAGGATGATCTCCTCTTTTTAAGTCTCTTCCAGCAAACATACAATTCCCCGCCTTCTCTCCATATGAAGATCCTCGTGCGCAGCAGCAATTCGTGTGAGATATCTCGGAGCAGCAAGATTTGCCCACATCCCTGTTTCCATTGAGTCGCAGTTCAGTTTGCCGACCGGTTACGCTCACTCGCGCACAGGCGGAGGAGGAGCGAGACAGGATGAGATGGAGGGAGGAGGACGAAGAGAAGGAAAAGGGGGACAGGGGGGGGCCCTCCCAGAGGCCCGGCGACCAGGGGGGCGGTTTCGGCGCCAGGAGGGTCCCGCGGGGAGGTGGGACTGCGACACCTACCAGCTCATCACCACGCTCTCGGGCCGCTGCGCGGGTTGTCGTCGTCGCCGTCACCGTCACCGTCGTTGTCGTCGTCATCACCAGCGTTGTCACTATTGTTGAACATGAACCCGTTTCCAGAGAATAGCTTTTACTGCTGATGTAACCCTGAAAGGTCTTTAGATAACCCCCCCGCAATAGGTGGAAAATAAATATTTCGGGGGGGGATCTTATTGACGGACTGGGCCCCGCCCAATAACGGAAAATAAATATTGCCCCCGCCGCGCGACGACGACGACGACGAAAACGACACCGACGACGACGACTCGACGACGACGACGACGACGACGACGACGACCGACGACGACGACGACGACGACCGACGAAACGGTTCCACGCGCTCTCGCCTGGACGGTGGGTGCATTTTCTTTGAAAGCGACGCTCCCGCTCGAGCGTGGGCGGACTTTGCAGTCCCGGCTGGCGAAGGCCCAACTGAAATGACCACGGTTCCCGCTCGACATTTCTTCACAAGTTCCGCCGAGATGCATTGGCCAGAGAGGCCCCCATCTCAGGAACGACGCTCTCGCCGAGACGCTCTCGCCATTCGTTCCAGCCGATGCAAAGCCAGCTCCGACGGCAACGGCTCCCGCTCGCCTCACAGTCATTTCGAGGCGCCCTAGAGGCCCCAAACATTCTGGAGCGGCAATCTCTCCCGAGACTTCTTCGCGGGTCTTGGCGGCGCGCAGAAGGGGGTAGGGGGAGGGGGGCAGGCTTCTTAGAAGGAGGCTGCTTCTTAGAAGGCGCCGGCCTTACATCTACAGAGAAGGCCCGCGCCTTCTAAGAAGCAGGGGTGCTTCTAAGAAGCCTTCCCCCCTCCCCCTACCCCCTTCTGCGCGTGGCCAAGGGTCATTCAAGATTGTCGGTTGCCCGCGGGCGCGTCAGCTAGCATGACGGCCATGACAGCGCGTTACGCACAGCTTCTCCCGGGATCTGGTATGGAAAGAAGTCCCCTCCAAGAGGGGCTGGGCTCGTAGACTTCACGGGCGTTTGCAAGGACGAGGGAGAAACACATGAAGTTCAAAATAGTTTGCTGGATCACATGTTCGCAAGGTGGTGGTGGTCGTCGTCGTCGTCGTCGTCGTCGTCGTCGTCGTCGTCGTCGTCCGTCGTCCACGGTCGTCGTCGTCGTAATCGGGGGGAGGGGGGTGGGCAGGAGGAAGGAGCGAAGAGGGAGGAGGCAGCAGGCAGCAGCAGCGGCGGGGGGGGGGGTAGGAGGGCCCCAGGAGGCAGCACAGTGGAGGGAGGGGGGGAAGCAGAGGCGAGGCAGGAGGGGGGGGAGGCAGCCGGCAGGCAGAGGGGGGCAGGCTGGGGGGCCTGAGGCGTCTGGGCACCTCTGTGAGCCTCTGGTTCGAGCCCTCGTCGAGCGCGGCTGGTCGGGTCACCCTCGCAGAGACCCGGGGCCCGACTCTGGGCGGGCCCCCCAGGCCGACGAGAAGGAGGACCGAGGGCAGGGAGAAGGAGGAAGAGGGGGCAGAAGGAAGGGAGGAGGACGTGAAGGAAGAGGCGGAGGAGGAGGGGGAGGAGAGGGGGAGGAGGGGAGGAGCGCGGAGGAGGAGAAGGAGGAGGAGCAGGGGGAGGCGCAGGGGAGGAGCGAGGAGCAGAGGAGGAGGGGGGTGTGGCAGGGGGTCGGCAGCCAGGGCGCATGGGCAGGTCTACCCTTGGAGATCGAGGGTGCCACGAGGAGGAGGAGGAGGAGGAGGAGGAGGAGGAGGAGGAGGAGGAGGAGGAGGAGGAGGAGGAGGAGGAGGAGGAGGGGAGGAGGAAGAGGAGGAGGAGGAGGAGGAGGAGGAGGATGGAGGAGGAGGAGGAGGAGGAGGAGGAGGAGGAGGAGGGAGGAGGAGGAGGAGGGAGGAGGAGGAGAGGAGGGGAGGAGGAGGAGGAGGAGGAGGAGGAGGAGAGGAGGAGAGAGGAGGAGGAGGAGGAGTGAGGAGGAGGAGGAGGGGGAGGAGGAGGTAGGAGGAGGAGGAGGAGGAGGAGGAGGAGGAGGAGGAGGAGGAGGAGGAGGGAGGTAGAGGAGGAGGAGGGAGGAGGAGGAGGAGGAGGATGAGCGGAGGGGAGGAGGAGGAGGGAGGAGGAGGAGGTGGGAGGATGGAGGAGGAGGAGGAGGAGGAGGAGGAGGAGGAGGAGAGGAGGCGGAGGAAGAGGAGGAGGAGGAGGAGGAGGAGGAGGAGGAGGAGGAGGAGGGAGGAGGAGGCGGAGGAGAGGAGGAGGAGGAGGAGGAGGGAGGAGGAGGGAGGAGGAGGTAGGAGGAGGAGGTGGAGGAGGAGGAGGAGGAGGAGGAGGAGGAGCGGAGGCGGAGGCGGAGGCGGAGGAGGAGGAGGAGGAGGAGGATGGAGGAGGAGGAGGCGGAGGAGGAGGAGGAGGAGGAGGAGGAGGCGGAGGCGGAGGCGGAGGCGGCGGAGGAGGCGGAGGAGGAGGAGGAGGAGGAGGAGGAGGAGGAGGGGAGGAGGAGAAGAGAGGAGGAGGAGGAGGAGGAGGAGGAGGAGGAGGAGGAGGGGGAGGGGGAGGGGAGGAGGGAGGAGGAGGAGGAGGGAGGGAGGAGGAGGAGGAGGAGGAGGAGGAGGAGGAGGAGGAGGAGAGAGAGAAAGTGCACCTTTTGGGCATCACCAAGGGGGATGTATCGTCGACTCCGGCTCGATACTTCCTCCCGCTGAGCTGGCTCCCCCTCGATGGCAGGTTGACCCATGCGCCCATTGCCACGATCTGGTCTTGTACGCTGCCCTCTGTCCGTGTGTCCTCGGGCGTCTGTGGGCGGCCTGGGGTGGTCTGCGCCCCCCCTCCGCCTCCTCCTCCTCCTCCTCCTCCTCCTCCTCCCTCCTCCTCCCCTCGTGGCGCCCTCGATCTCCAAGGGTAGACCTGCCCATGCGCCCCCCCTCCCCGAGAAAGGGCCCCGGACCCCAGCAGGACTGTTGCTGGATCTTCCGCGGCACCGCCTCCTGCCATCTGCGCCCTCTCGGTGCTCCTGCTCCCCGCCTGCCGCACGTGCCGCCGCGCCGTGTCCTCCGACGCGCGGCCTGGCGTCTTGGGGAGGCCGCCTCGGCCACCAGGGCCAAACTCCCCCTCGGGCCGCGGTGGGCTTGCCGCGGGGTTGGCCGCGGTTCTTGGCATCGCTCGGACGTGTGCCTTTTTCCTTCGGCGAGGGCCATCGAGGAGCATTCTTGATCATTTGACGAAAAAACCACGCACGAAACCGAAAAAAAAACAGGGAATGGACGTCCGAGCGATGGCGAGGGTTCTGGCCTCGTCTACTTGGGGCGCCGGGCGCAGAGCTTTCCGTGGGCTTGCCGTGGGTTGGCCGAGGCGTCGGCGTTCGGCGTCGTCCACTCGGGCGCGTCGAGAACCAACGGCGCGGCGACACGTGCGCCAGCCAGAGCCCCGGTCGATCCGATGCAGACTGGGGGGTGCTTCCCCCAGTAGACGGAGCCGGCACCGCGGTAAACCCCACGGCAAGCCCACCGCGTCCGAGGGGGAATTTGCATTGGTTCAGCCACGCCCAGAAACGGGTTGAGGGAGGGGGGGGGGCTTCGTAGAGGCGCTCTGCTTCTTAGAAGGCCCAGGCCTCATCCATAGATCCAGCGCCTTCTGAGAGGCAGCCTCCATCTACGACGCCTTCCCCCCTGCCACTGCGGCGCCACCAACTGGTAGCCGAGGCGCTCTCCTCAAGGCGCGAGGCCGCGCTTCGAGAGCAAACGGTGCGGCGACACGCGCTGCCGGCCAGAGCCTCGGCCCACCCGAGGCAGACCATTCGGGGAGGTGCCGTGGTCGCGCGCGCTCCTGAGGTGAAGCGCGCCAGCCCCGGCCGCCCCAGGCCCCTCGTGCTTCCCCACGGCCAGCACGGGGCAGCGCGCGTGGGCCGTCGGCGGCGAGCGCCCGTGGGTCGTTGGCGGCGAGCGAGGGGGTAACGATTTAGCGAGCGAAGAACTGTATAAAATAAACTTTTCCGCCGTCGGGGACACCTGCCCCTGGGCGGCTGGAAAGTTTATACCCCTATGGTGCCACCGTAGGGTATAAACTTTCCAGCCGCGCTGGGGCAGGTGTCCCCGACGGCGAAAAAGTTTATGTTATACAGTTCTTCGCCCGTTCAACGATAGGGGGAAAGACATCGTGGGGCAACAATCGGAGGCAGTGATGGGGGCAGAGCGCGCGGGTCGGCGGCGGCGAGCGAGGGGGGGGGGGGGAAGTCGGGGGCAGGGATAGGGGGGAAGACCTCGGAGGGCGGCGGCGGGGCCCCGGGAAGTGCCGGCTTTTTCGAGGTCCGAGGCTGGAGGTCTTCGGGCGCCGCCGTCGGTCCGTGGCAGTCTGCTGGCTCGGGGAGGCTTCCCAGCAGCTGCGCCTCGCCTGAGGAGCGTTCCGCTCGGGGGCCCCGGGAATCGTCCCGAGCTTCGGGGTCCGAGGCTCGAGGTCTTCGGGCGCCTCCGTCGGTTCGTGGCAGTCTGCTGGCTCGGGGAGGCTTCCCAGCAGCTGCGCCTCGCCTAAAGAGCGTTCCGCTCGGGGGCGGCAAAGAGGGGGGGGATGACTAGGGGTGTGTGGATATCATGAAGTGGGTCATGATATTTCCCCAGATTTCATGACGCCTCCCCTTATTTCATCCGTAGCCATGTTGGCTCAAGGCGTTCTCCACCAGTTGTGAACCGCACACACGCTGAAAGACCAGATGCAGGCATGCAGCAATACTGTGCTCTGCGCACTGGATTCAGAGCTCGAGGCTGTCCTGCAAAAAGACGCACATGAGCTGGAACGAGAGAGGGCTGCGAAACGCGTGAAATTGACGATGGAAGGTATAGCCAAAAAGATCGGGCTCCCCCGAGAAGTAACAATGTTTGGGTCTTGCTCGAATGGTTGCAAAAACGGGACATCAGATTTCGATATTGCACTTGTTAGTAAGATTGATGCTGGACAGGCGGTGCACTACCTGGCCAAATTTGCAGAGCAGTTGCCATCTTGTGGCTTCGGTAACGTCACAAAGGTCTTCCAGGCGTCGACGAAGCTGTTGAAGTTTACAGACGTGAGGACACAAACGGAGGTGGACTTTTGCATCAACAATGACCTAGGGGTTAGGAACTCAAGGATGCTTGGCTGCTACTGTGAGGTTGACCAGCGGGTGTCGAAACTGGGCCGGCTCATCAAAGATTGGGCAAAGAGGCATGACCTGGTTGGCAGTGCCGATGGTTATTTGAACAGCTACGCATACATGCTCCTCACAGTTTTTTACCTTCAGCAGACAACGCCGCCTGTGTTGCCCAACCTGCAAAAAATGGCAACGGAGCCTTTCCTGGTTGACAGTGACAAGTGGGGCATGGAGGACACATGGGACACCAAGTTTTGGGACGACATAGGGGGCTTGGAGAAGTCGAACAACGAGATGACCGTCAGCCAACTGCTCATCGGCTTTTATCATTTTTACGGATTTGCGTTCGAATGGAAGTCCTGTGCGGTGTGCATTCGGGAGTCCCAACTAGGGCAGTCGGTGAATAAGTTCACCCTGCAGACTCGCGTCATCGAAGAGCAGTGGTACATCGAGGATCCGTTCGACTTGCGGCACAATCTGGCTGGGAGGTGCAGCCGCGCTGGTCGCGAACGGATTCTGAGCACCATGAGGGACACGCACGAGGTGTTGTCCAGTAAGGGCCGCTGGGATCTTGCATGCCCCCTCAGGGAATCCAGCAAGCACTTCCTCAAATGCCGCACCGCCCATGACGTTACCCCGCAGGCCTTCCTCGAGGCTTTCGAGGAGTTCGAGTTGGTCAAGCTGCACTTTCCCAAGCCGTGCGACCAGGGCAGTTGTCATTTGAACACGTTCCTGGAATTTAGAACCAGTGCGGCGCGCAGGCGTGCGCACACCAAGAACGAGTGCCACCTGGAGGGGTGCTCTCAGCAGCTGCACCTGCACGCCAGTTCGCAGCACGCCCTCGAGGATGCGATGCAGGCCCTCGAAGCCACCGGCGGGTCGTACTCCACCTTCGAGATGCTTCCCTACAAGCTGCAGAGGCGGGTCCAGCAGAACCGATGCGGCCTCGATGGTGCCAGTGCGTGGCACGGAGTGGAGCAGCAGGAGATTCAGCTGGATGCTGCAATAGACAGCTGCGAGGCGGTCTTGATTCAGCAGCTAAGCGATGCAGCGACCCATATCGACTACTGCCAGTTCCGCGACATCCTCATGGACCACTTGATGGAGGCGGGGAACCTGATCTCGAGGGCTGTGCCTAGCGAGCGCCACATCGTGGAGCGGGTGTTCGGCGGCGACTGCGCGCGCATCTCTCGGCTGAGGGCTCTGTTGGACGCCGCAGGGCAGGTCGAGCAGCACAACCAGGCCGTGGTCGCGTGCTCGAGTGCCTGTGAGGTGGCGGAGCGCTCGCTCTGGGACCTGGGCCTCCAGGACGCCAGCCGGGACCACGCCGGCGGAGGACCTGCCGCCACACTCCCGGCACCCCTCCCGGCGTGCGCCCGGCCTCCCGGCACCTTCCGGCCGAAGCCCGCCGTCCCCGCGGTGGGCCCGTGGGTGGGCCCCTGGCGCGCCGCGGCGCTTGCGGCCTCCTCCGCGGCGTGCCCGCGGCCGCCGCCGCTGCCCAAGGGGGCCCCGCCGCCGCCCCACGGGGCCGCCGCGCCGCCGGCGCCGCCCGCGCTGCCCCCCCCCGTGGCGGTGGTGCGCGCGTCGGCGTCGGACCGCCAGTTCTGCGCGTGGGCGGCCGCGTCGGCGGCGCTCACGGCCCCCGCCGTGTGCCTCGGCGCCGCGGCGGTGCTGGCCACGTGCTCCCCGGCGGTGGCGGCGGCGGCCGCGGCGGCCACCGTGGGGCACGCCTCCGACCTCCTGCTGACGACGTCCTCGTACCTGGGCGCGCTCGCGGAGGGGGGGGGGGTCGACAACGGCGCGTTCGTGCAGATCTTGGACAGCAGTTTTAGGCTTTTAGAGGCCGCCGCCCCGGGTCTCCTGGCGACGGCGGCAGGACTAGTCACCAGCGCGACTCAGTATATAACAGACGATCCAGATCCAGCGTAGTTCCAGCGCCGCGTAGTTCCAGCGTAGGTCCAGCGTAGTTCCAGCGACGTCGTCTCCCCGCCGGGGAGACGACGTGTCTCTCCGACACTAGTGGTGCCGACCACGGGCCAGTTGGCCACCTTGTGCTCTGCCTGAACCGAGCACGGAGTCTTATTTTTTCCCGGCTAGCCGTGTTTCCTAGCAACGGTGTCCCAGAAACAAAAAAAATAGAAATAAAATAAAAAATGACGCCTCCCCTTATTTCATTACGTCCCTGGCACCCCCGCTGGGCCGCGCACACGCCGCCGGTCGCGATCTGCACCCCCCCCTCTGTTGGACACCCGCCTCTTGGCCGCTCCCGATCCGCGGGGGTGCCAGAAGCGTCCCGAACGGTGGCTGGAGGGCCGAGTGCGGGCCCGAGCACCAGCGGGCACGGGCATAGACACAGGGGGGACGCATCGACCCCCCAACCGCGCATTTTCTCGGGCCCCCGCCTGCCCAGGAGCGCGCGGGTGCACCACCAGGGGCCTGTTGCCGATCTATCGGCGATGCATCGCCGATTCCAGGTCGACGGCGCCCCCCCCCCAATGCCTATCCCCCCCCCTCGCTGCCCCTCCGGATGTGAAAATGAGAAGGCCCATCCTCAGAAGGCGGCGGGGCTTCTCAGAAGCCCTCCGGCCTTCTGAGAGGCTTTGCGCGTCTTCGGGGGAGCCTCGGCTGGGGGATTCCCAGGCCTTCTGAGGAGGCCCGCCCCCTCTCAAGGATCGAAAAGTAGGAGGAGTAGGAGGAGGAGGAGGAGGAGGAGGAGGAGGAGGAGGAGGAGGAGGGGGAGGAGGAGGAGGAGGAGGAGGAGGAGGAGGAGGGGGAGGAGGAGGAGGAGGAGGAGGAGGAGGGAGGGGAGGGGGGAGGAGGAGGAGGAGGAGGAGGAGGAGGAGGAGGAGGAGGAGGAGGTGGCTTCCCCCCCGGGCTCGCCACCGCCGTGCGCGACGGGCCCCCCGCTCCTGTGCGACGTGCGGCCAGGACCTGTATTGCTCCGCGTGTCGCGCTGCTGGCTTTGCTAGGAGGGAAAACACACACACACAGACACACACACACACAGACACACACACACAGACACACACACAGACACACACAGACACACACACACATAGACACACACACAGACACACACACAGACACACACACACACCCACACCCACACCCACACCCCACACCCACACCCACACCCACACCCACACAGACACAGACACAGACACAGACACAGACACAGACACACACAGACACAGACACAGACACAGACACAGACACAGACACAGACACAGACACAGACACAGACACAGACACAGACACAGACACAGACACAGACACACACAGACACAGACACAGACACAGACACAGACACAGACACAGACACAGACACAGACACAGACACAGACACAGACACAGACACAGACACAGACACAGACACAGACACAGACACAGACACAGACACAGACACAGACACACACAGGCACAGGCACAGACACAGACACAGACACAGACACAGACACAGACACAGACACAGACACAGACACAGACACAGACACAGACACAGACACAGACACAGACACAGACACAGACACAGACACAGACACAGACACAGACACAGACACAGACACAGACACAGACATAGACATAGACACAGACACACACACAGACACAACATTAATCGTCGATCCCCCAGAAGATATGGGAAACTGTGGGGAGTGGGGGGGAGACAAACACCCAGAACATATGCGAAGATCTATGGGGCATCTTTTTTATTTGCGTGTCCTTATTTGTGTGTCCCAGGGCCCCTCCGTTCTGGCCCACCTCGCTTCGGCGCAGTTCGCTGTCCACGTCGCGGCCCCCAGGCGTCGTGTCCCAGGGCTTTCCGAGCCTCCCGGCGCGCGGAGCGCAGCGACACGCTACTCGCTTGCGCGGCGCAGCGTGTCGCCGGGGCCGCCGCTGCGACACGCGAGGCAGAAGCTCCCGACCGTAGACGCGCTCCGTGGCCAGATCAGGCTGCACTGGCGCCATGCTTCGGATGGGGGGGGGGCGCTCCCCGATGCGTGGACCTGGCGCCCACGCGTCAGACCCACGGGTCCCTGATCCATGTTGGCGTGTGCCCGATGCCTAGCCCTCGCCGACGTCGCGAATGGCAGCTGTGCCCGCGCGCACCTGCCCGCAGAAAGATGGGCTCTGCGTCCTCTCGGGGTGCCCGCGCTCGCGTGCGCGCGCGTGCTCCGACTGCGCGCGATTACGCGGCATGGGGAGCCGGGGAGCTCCTCCTGGGTCTTCGGGGGCTGCGTGGCCCCCTGTGGCCGGGATCCTTGTCGAACGATGGAGCGCTTCCGCCTGGTCGAATGCAGGCCGCACTCCTCGCGCGGAGGGCGCCCTGCGAACGCGGTGGAGGAGGAGGAGGAAGACGACGGCGGGTTCGAGGAGGTCGCTTGCCTCGCAGCGGCGGGATCGTCCTGCCGACGCGCAGGGCATGCCCCGAGACGAGCTCGGAGCGCGCAGCACCGAGTCGGAGGCGTCTGGCGTGGGCTTCGCGGGGGGCGAGGCGTTCGACACAGAGGGCACCGCCAAGGCGGAGGCCGCCGCGGCTGCTCCAGAGGCCACGGCTAGGGGGCTGCATGTGAACCCTACCCCTGCCCCCCTGCCCCCCCTCGCTCGGGAGCTCCCGAGCGAAGTGAACCCCACCCTCCCCCTTAGACATCGTGGGGGGTAGGGGTGGGGTTCACATGTGGCCCCCTAGCGGCAACTACCGCGGCAGTTCGCGATGCCGTCATGAGCATCAGGGGCGGCCGCGGCGCCGGCTCACAGAGGTCCCAGGGCGCGCTGGTGTCCAGCGTGCAGGGCCGCGTCTGCCGGCGGCAGCAGTCGCTGGCATGTTGGGGCTCCAGCGGGCCAGGTCGCAGGACCCGAGAATGACGAGGCAGCACATATTCATACAGTCGAGCGTCTGATGAAGAAACCTCCTTCCGAATAGCTGTGCCAGCGTTTCTTGACCAACTTGTCGGAAAGCTGGCCCAGTTTCTTGAGCGCGTTCGCCCCTCCAGCGTTCCAACGAAGATGTGGTCCAGGCTTATCTTAAGAGACTTCCGGGGAACTGTCCCAGATTTCTACGAATATGGTTCATGGGTCACATGTTCGGTTCTACGTTTCCGAAGCTCCGCAAGGAGGATTGGCGCTGGACCTCCCTTGCCTCGCGCGCGAAGCGCGCCAGGGGCGGCGCCAGTCGGATCTCAGAATCAGCCTATCTCCCGCGGTCGGTGCTTCCGAAAGCCGCCGCGATCGCCCGAGGTTGAACGATGCAAACGGCTTCGAAGCAATCAGCAGCGCACAAGCCGTCAGGACACGAACTTGCCGCACACCGCCACCTGCGCCATCCGCCGGCGTGGTCGAGCGCACGGTGCCCCGGCCGCCTGCTCGCCAGCCAGACCAGCATCCACGGCAGCGGCTCCAGGGTCCGGGGAGGCAGCACGCGTCTGAGAGTCTCGTCTCGTCCTCCTCCTCCTCCTCCTCCTCCTCCTCCTCCTCCTCCTCCGTAGCCATTTTGGCTCAAGATGCCTGCTTTGCGCAAGCAGGGAATGGATACCGCTAGTCCGCGGCCAGTTTCCGCCACGCGCGCTGCCCCTCCGCCCGTGCGCTGCGCCCGTGGCTCATGACGCCCTCTGCTCCTGGAGGACGGCGAAAGAAAAAGAAGCTCCTTGGCGATGCTCGCGGCAGTGTGGCTCGTGATGCTGATGACGGCGCTGAGGCAGGTGATGGTCGTGCCGACGAGCGGTCCCGTTCCAGCAGATGCGGCTCTGATGAAAGAACGATCCAGACATGGACCCCAGCGGTTGGGATGACCACGTCAAGGGCCTCATCGACGGCCACCTCCGCAGCATGTTCGCCTCTTTCAAGAATGAGATCACTGGAATGGTCGCCTCGACAGCTTCTGCAGCTGCCACGCAGGCCGTCGATCCCGTCATGGCCGCGATCCGTGCTGTGGAGGACGCCGTCAAGAGCGTTCCTGCCACGTGCCAGCAGAAGGTGGAGGCTTCGCTTCGTCCCGAGCTGGCCGCGATGGAGCGCCGGTTTCAGACACAGCTCGATGGTCTCAATGCCAGAGCCACCAGCTTGGATTCGCGCACTGAGAAGATGCATGATGAGTTTGGGGACATGCACAAGCAAATGGGTGAGCTGCGAAATGCCTTGGCGCTCGCACATCGTGCTCCGCCTCCGCCCAAGCCTCCAGCCGCTGGATTTCACAGAGAGGTGGATGCGACGGTGCTCAAGATCGTGGCCTCCTCTATGGTCAAGCGTAAGGATGTCCACGACTCCATCAAGGCCTGGCTGGACAAGTCCAAGATTGACGGATGGGAAGTTCAGGGAGAAGAACAAGATCGGTTGTTTACGCTGCAGTTCACAGGCCCTGTCGCTGTCGCTGGTCGGCGTGCAGTGCAGGCCCTTGGAGCGCTTCGACTGCCTGGCAAAGGCAACTGGATGCGCTTTCCCGTCCCTGCCGCATCTGGAGGATCCACGCAGCTGCACGTTGGTGCCGACAAGAACCCGTTCCAGATCAAGCGCGAGATTGCTGGGAAGAAGGTCGCGGCCATCCTGCGAGAGAAGTACCCCGACACAAAGTTGTTCTTCGATCGCCAGAATGGATGGATCTCCGAAAGCTGGAACCCGATTCTCCGTCTTGAACCGCAACCAGGGCAGGAGGCTACCAAATGTTATTGGAACGATGCCGCACTTGCCACGAGGGGGTGGACCAGGGACGAGATCAACTCCGCCATCAACCACATCATCACCCCCAATGGCGAGCCTGAGTGGAGTCTTTAGCCAGTACGACGGCCTCTTTCTCTCGGAGGTTGAAGGCGGAATGTCGCCGAAGACAGGTCAAATCGTTTTTTGTACTTGGAATGCCAGAGCGTGCTTGAGGTGGTGCGGTGTTCAAGCCATGGCCAAAGCCACCTACCTTCATCAAGCTGGGATCACGAACGCCATCTTCGCCATCCAAGAAGTGCACCAAACTTTGACAGAGTTCCAGTTTGTCATGTCGAGGATTGCACTTCAGGTTTTGGATCTTTTGAGGTGGCACGTGACGGCCATCGGCGTGGTGGCGTGGCGACGGTTGTCCCGCTCGCGCAGGGTGTGGATGTCGTTGCTGTTCCGCTCGATCTTATTCCTGGTCGTGCATTGCGCCTGGTTCTTCGTCGT